AAGGCAAAGTCAAAGGCGCCAAGTGACGAAAAGCGGCGGTGGAAAATGATAAATGAATGCAGGTGGCGACGCTTCTTTTTATTTTGTTGTAGATGGGGGAGTGTAAACAGGGAAGGCAAAAAAGGCTAATCGATTGACAACGTCGGCGAAAAAGTGGGAAAAGTTTTTAATGAATTTTCAAAAAGGCGTTATAATCAAAAGGAAGAGCGTTACATCCTACCCGAACTCCGGCAGCCACTCGAATTCATAGACAGTCTGCGACTGGAGGCACGCCCGAGTAATTCAATAAAACTTTGCGACAAATGAAGCGGGAAGCTGGAAGCGGGATCTGTGGAGCTTCTCCGGAGCTCCGGCTGAAGTTGGGTAACCGTAACTTCAATCAAGCGATGGCTGGCAAATGAAAATCATTTCCTTCCATGTCATTATTATGTATTTTAAGCCAACTCGCGATGGATTTCACTTTCCTGCACACAGAGAGAAAAGGTATTGTTGATGTTAAGGAATTATATTTCTCATAACTTGTAGGGAAATGTGAGAAATATGGTAGAGGGTTAGTATCCCTTAAACTATAACTGCAATTTACGTTTAGTAAGTACTTATATTAAGTTACTATATATTTAATTAACCTAATTGATATCTATTGATCTACCCAGAATATCCTTTCAAATTCCAATAGATTTCAAAGGATAGTTATACAACAAAAATTGTTCTTTGTGTGTCAGTGGCTTTGACTCATCGACACAACTCCAGATACGGTACAGATACAGCTACAGCTACAGATACAGATACAGCTGCGGATGCAAAAGATATTCGAAGCTGAGATACAGTGGGTTGCCCTTCGTTACACCACGAAAGCAAACGAAATTTTCCTTTGGCGTTTGTCTGGCGTTGTTGTATTCTTTCCGTTTCCGCTTCCTTGGCCGTTTGCAGTTTTGTTGCTGACGCTGCTTGGTCCTTGGCCCCCTTCCTCGGTCTTGCCTTATCCTGGAACTCCTTTTGCCATTTTCCCCCAATTCGCATTTGCCAGCGACGGCGGCGGCAATTTGGAGAATTTTTCACATAAAAAATAATAAGAAAAGTTGTATGCTAATGTTGTTCTCTGTTCTGTTCGTCAGTCGCGCTTCTCGTCCTTCTGGTCCTCGTCCTTCACGCCGCTGAGCGTATTGAAAAAGAAGAAAAGAAATTGAAAAACAATTTTTGCATTTGGCATTTTCACAGCAGGCGGGAAACGAGAGAATGGGGTTTTCGAGTGGAGAAAGTGGCTTAAGCAGCTCTCAGCTTAAAACTTAAGAACTGACTATGAGCACTCCTTTAACCCTAGGAAAAATGGGGCACTTTAAATCAATAAATCTTGAGTTAAACATTGTACTTTAATAAGTATGCATTTAATAAGAGTCACTAAGCAAGATCCCTGTTAACTTGTTAAAAGGTAAAGTTAATTAAATCTCTAACCTTTTCTTATATTCTTCAACCGTTGAAATCCACCAAGCTTATACTGGTTTCACCTTCCACCAGCTATTTTCGAATTAAATCTTTAAAAGCAATACCAAGCGAACTTCATCAACTTTTTAATTAGTTTTGCAATCGAAAGCAACAAAAACAAAAAGAGTATACAAAACTTTTCCAAGCGAACCGAGCTGATGCAACAATCATAGGATTCATACCAGAAGCTGGCAAACTTTGCCTTATAATTTCAAAGGTAAATATTTATTTTCGAGCTAATGCCCCGTGGCCATAATCAACAGCTTGAAAATGCCCACCGAACCGCACTGAACCAAACTGGACCGCGTCGCGCTTTCGACAAAGTAATCAATTTTTGAGGACAGGCCAAAACCCCGACCGACTTTCAAAAAGTTGTGATGCAGTTAGCCAAAGCCATCAGCAGGACGAACTCCCCATCCTGCCATTGGAAGCAACAGTGAAGCCATTTTAACTGGTTTTCTGCTAGTTCCGGTTTATTAATAGGTTAAATCCCTGTTTTATTTTTTGAAATTTTAATAGATGCATTCAATTCTAATCCAGCATATATAACTTAAACTTTTGAAAGCAATTAATACTGGTGTATTAATTGATATCAAATAAATTAATAGAAAACTAAGGATATATGTATAATTTCTAAGATGTTAAAGAACTAATAAAATTATTATAAATAAGATTAATAAATTATGAAAATTGCTAGAAGAAGTCAATTGAATATATTACGTATACGTATTGATATATGGGTTACGATGTTGTACAATAAATTTGATTACCTTTTGAGTTATACTTTAGTTAAAAAAAGTGCTATAATTGTATTTTCTCTTCTTTTGTCATAAACTATTAAACTGTATGCTTTGTAAATATTATTCCTTATTAAAATATAATTTAGTCGCAATTTAACTGGGCTATTTGTTGGCATCAAATGTTGGCAACACTGACAGCTTCTCGTCAACCCAATCCACTCCAGTTGATTCACCGCAAAGTTCAGACATCACCTGCCGCAGGGAGCGGAGAAAGGAGTGGCACTCAAACAGGATCCTCCAGGAGTAGGACCAGGAGCAGAAGCGGGATCCCGGGGGAGGCAGAGGAGATGGCTTCCCAAATGGCTCCCAACGGACTCCACTCTCGCTGACTGACGACCAACTGTCGTCCCACTCTCACTCACTCTTGATTTTCCCGCTTTTCCCCACTTTTCTCAGTCGACGTCTGTTGCTGGTGTTTTATGGCATTGGTGGGTTGGGATGCTGCCGCTGCGCTGCCAAAAGTTTTAGCGCTAAAAAATTGAAATGCTGCCTCACGTGCCACCAAATTTTTTATATTTGTTGATTTTTGGCTTAGAGTGTTGACCGAAAACAAAGTTCCAGTTGGCTTTTGTTTTTCAATTTTCAGTTTTTTTTTCCACCCAGGTTTTTTGTGTGTCCGCACTCACTTTTCCGCCTGCTTCCTTTTTTTTGAACCATTTTGGGGATTCGGTTTCACTGCGACCTCTTTGGTGATTCGGTTGTGTTCAGTTATTTGTCCAGGCTGCCTTACCATTTTGTTCATTTTTTAATAACTAAATGTCCTTTGTACGCCCCTACCCTTGGGTTGCAGTTTAATTTGATTGATATGCAACTATTCGAGCTCACTGTTTTTTGAGCCCTTTGATTGGGCTATCCTTTGACTTCATAAATCTTTTGCCGACCGCAACGCGACTTCTATGGATATTAAGTGACCATGGGAAAATTCACGGAAAAAGTCAAAAGGATGCTCTTTTCATCGATGTCACGAGTTCACCGCTCTCTCATCGATATCACTTCAAAGTTTAGAACTTTTTAGGAGTTTTTCTGTACGGCAGATTGGTCACAAAGTCAAACATCGAAAAGGGTATGGCTCTTGCAATTTTGATTGGATTTGCATTGGTTCTTAACAGATTATATGTTCATTCTTTTCAGAATTATGTAAAGCTTTTTAACTAAATGGTGTTATTTTAAGCTTGGCATTATTAGAAAAGATTTTAAACTTTATATGCATTTCCTGTAAAGTTTAAATTTATTTACCAATTCCATTTGTACATTTGTTAAATAATTTAAAAGATGCTGTATATGAGCCAGAAATATGCTTCTGCTTAAAAATGAGCTCTGAATTTATGCATAAACCGGGAGATTTGTGACTCTGTTTGAGCCACTTCCTACCAAAACCGTGTCCTTGGTGTCCTCGCACTTATTAGCTTTCGATTTGCGTAGTGGCTTTAGCTAAATGCTAAAGGCTACGGGCACGTGCCGAAAGAGCAGCCCGCTTTGAGCGCTTTTTAAAGGATCTGTCCGGGTAGACAGGGGACATTAGGAGGCAGGACGAAAACTAGTCTTCCCTCGTTGATGGTGTGACGGGCATATTAAAAAGGAACGCTGCCAACATCGTGTCCCCAGCATGACGTGCCAAAAACTAAGTAGTGTCAGCATGGCAATCAAAAGGCATGCCGTGACCTGAGCCTTGCCCCTCCAATGTGCAGGTGTGCGGACAAGGACTTTGCCAATGTAAAGTAGTCGTTGACTAAGGAAGAATTTTATCTGAATTTTACTGTATGATAAATGCACACTACACAGCAATATATAACATTTTCAGATGACATTTATGTGTCCAATGCAAAGAATGAAGAATATGCCTGCTTTCTTATCAATAAATTATACTTTACCTCCAATAATTTGCTTCTTAAGCAGCTGGGTACGAACCTATTATGTAGATGATTAGTTCCTCTTTTAGAGGTACCACTGTAGTCGGAGGTACAGGGACAGCCCGCTCTCAAATAGGCAGTTGGCATTACATGCCTTTTGTGTTGCAAAGAGATTGGTTCGGTTGCGTTGGTCTGGTTTAGGTTCACTTGGGGTTGGGGTGTGGTGTGGGTGTGGGTGTGGACTGGGGTCTTTGGTTTGGTTCCATGGAACAGGGACGTGAGGGGGTAGTAACCAAACAACACATTGCTCTTAGAGTGCGTTGTTTTAGGCTAAGTGACGGGCGTGGTCGGGCTCAATGAGAATGCTTTCCTTACGCCATGGAGCACTCTCCCGTGCCCCACTTCAGGGGAGGAGAAGAAAAGCAAGCATTTAGTTTTGTTTTTTAAATATTATGCACGGACGTTTATTGAAATCGTTTTTCTTTTGTGTCTTTGCCATAGAAATCATAAGTATAACTTAAGAACTAATGCAAACTGCTTAAGTATATTACACAAAAACTTACAACTCGAGACTGCAAGGGGCAATAACTTAGGGTTAAGGGTTATGGGTTTCGGGATCGCTTGTGCTCTAACATTAGATAAATATTTCGAGTTCGTACTAGCACTACGGTCTTAGACATTTACATACACGCGAATACATTTACATAGATATATGTTCCGGTATCGTATTGGTATCCCATTATAATGACAAACTTGCAACGCTCTCATTGAAACTACGATTTTGTTGTGGATCTATCCTAGTCGGGGCTTACTTCCGGATTCTGGTGTGCTTTAGCCATAATTACCATATCAATATTTTCTAATCTCCTGCGATGCAGATTGAAAACTTTTTACTGGGCTTCTGCTCTGCTTAGCGAGAGAAAGTGTGTCTATCTTAACAGGGGGAAATTCAATTGGTGTATAGTTCTGTTCGCGTAATCCTAGTTCTTGCATTGAAATGTCACATGTCCTTACTGACTAACCTAGAACTAAGAGTTATTTCGAGTAAAGTTTGGATGGAGAGTTTTCCAAACAACTGTGTCACCTTCTTCCTCTCCATCCGAACTCCTGCGGTTGGGTATCTCTCATGTAAGATTTTCTGCTAATCCCTATATATCTAAGCACTACCTTTTAAATATGTCTTTGGGAACAGAGTGGACGAGGTGGTCTGCTGGAAAATCTTGCGACGCCGCCTCTTGTTGTATTTACAGGTCTTGGCATGCTTCAGCACCGCTGGTTAAACATATCTGGTTATTTGAGTATGGAACTCCGATAGGCAGATCTGCAACTGGCTGAAGGAAGGTCGCTCAGACGGCATTGAGGCCCAGCAATAGGCCATGATCGTAAATCTGTAAACAGGGAAAGGAAAGTAAATAAATTAAATAACAAGTTTTACAGGAAAGGAAATAAACTTGTAGTATTACAGAGAATATGAGAAGCCTTAAGGCTAATAAAACTAAGACCGAATAAATGATACATACTATACTTTACTTAGTATACATTTTATAGGCTTAGTTTTTATTATACTTACAGCTCATCTGGGCAGTTGAAAGGCTGGGCCAACCGATAGCCATCCTTTAGATAGTGCTCCATTTCGTAGGGATCAATCTCGGCGTAGGGCAGCTTGCCCAGTGTGCACATCTCCCACATAAGGACTCCAAAGGACCAAACATCGCTGCCCTCGTTGTAATGGGACTTTGCAAGGCCTCCATCGAAAGCCACTTGATGGGTCGGTACTCCCCATCGCCCAGGGAGTTATAATCGCCCGGGAAGAGGTCACGACTCAGGGCACTATCTGTGAGCTTTACGCGCAACTGATCATCGATCCTATAAAGAGATAGTTAAAGATTAAGATTTTATAGAAATTATTAACACATATTAAATCAAAAGAAGTTTCGATTGTGATTACTCAATGTCCAGGTAATACTCTTCGAATGGAACTTGCTCTTGTTAAAGCTACATAAGATAGAGACTCCTTCTCTTAATACCACGACATTAAGAAGACGTTATTTTAAGGCAGCTAGTTTAACTTCCCATTAAAAATATAATAAATTCGAATGTAAAAATTCGTATAAATATTAGCTTTACTTACACACAGTTCCTGGCGGCAATGTCCTTGTGGATAACTCCGTGGTTGTGCAGATGCTCCATGGCCATGGCCAGCTGTGAGGCCATCAGCACCGTCTGAATGGTGGTCACACTCCTGGCATACGATGGATCCTGCAGGAAGCTCTTCAGATTCCTGACACTACCAGTGGCAGCATAAAGCACAAAGGGCGTGGCATAATCCTCAATTGAGATACCAAGGACAGAGAGCACATTCGGGTGCGAAGCCTCATAGAGCATCATGGACTCCTGGAGCAGGAGGTTTACTTGCAGCTGGCTGGCGTGCTGAGCCACGGTCTTGACCAGTACCTCCTGGCAGTCATTGTAAGTGCCGCGATAGATGCGCCCAAAGTTTCCCTCCTGGACGAGACAGGAGAGCCGGACGCGACACTTTTGGACTGTCAGCTCCTGGAGACGGCGGTTGAACTCCTCAGGCTCATGCTCATATTCGCGAAAGGGCCGCGTCAGAGTCGCGTATGTGGGTGTAATGGTCGAGGGGCAGACATAGATCGAGTTGTGGGCAGTCGAGGATATGGTGGGAAGACGCTGGAAGCTGGAGGTCTTGATCAGATGCACTCCATTTGAGGGATGTCGCTTGGAGGGACCCTTGGCACAGTAGGCTATCAGGATGAGGGTGGAGACCAGGACCAAAGCCAGGATACCGCCAACGATGAGGGTAACGACACCACTAGCTGGCGGCACCAGGTTCTCCCTCAGCATAGGATCAAAGTCCCGCTTGGATCCTCCGGAATTTCCCCGACCTACATTCACCGGTGACTCTGTGATCACGGGACGCTTCTTGTCCTTTTCCGGTGACAGGTGACCATTGGCAACCACATGCTCCTCGTTACGATCCACATAGTGCACGTCACTGTTGTGACCTCCCAGCGCCGGCTGCAACACATCCAGATCATCATCATCATACTCCTCGTGGGCACTATCCTGCTCCTCCTTCAAGCAGATCTTTTTGCGCTTGAATATCAAGTTCGTGTTGTTATTTGTTGCCCGATCCAGGATCACCTCCACGTTGATGGTTACGGTCACCTCGGCATTCCTGGTTCCCGAGCACTTGAGGGCAATGCCCCAGGTCTGCGGTTCCATGGGCACATCACCGATTCGAGAAATATTCAACTGAGGCCGTGGCAGGACCTCCGTGTCCGAGGTGGCGATATTGATGCTGTAGGGCAACGGATGTTCCACCAGGGACTGCCAGGTGAAGGTTACATCACTGATGTTGGCCGGCACGGGCACGGCAAAGTTCAAGGCGTAGTCATTGATGGCTCCCTCACGCACATAGTACAGCTCGGCAGAGACACCTGTAAAGGATTAAAGAAAGAGAATATCGTATTTAGTAAGCTTTTTAGAAAAACATCTAAGTATCAGAATAATATTTAAAAAGCGGAATATATTTTCATTACTTTTTCTTTAAACTCTGAGTCCTGAATGACTTTTAAGCTCTTATTAATACTTTCAGCATTCAAGACCATTTCTTTAGTGCTCTTTATTTATATTTAATCGCAACTGTTAATATTTAATCTCAGTGCAATGCTTGTTGCACATCACATCAGCACTGAAGCCGTGCTAATCCCATCCAGTCACTGGCAAAATTAATGATATATTTGTGGGCCAAGTGAATCGGAGAAAAACTTTTAGCTCAGTCACTCGACCCGACTGCGTAATCAATCAACAGGGATAACAGTTTTCTTCTGCTTGGCGAGGGCGTGGAAAATTGATTTTCACCGAAGTGGATCGGGCACGGGACTCGGGCAATATCTGTCCGTCGAGACACTTTAGTGACATATTGAAAGAGTTAAATGGCATGCTGCGCGCTCTGAAAGTGATTGTCAATTTTCCGAGGCGCCCTCCCCCCATTTCGTTCATTTTATCGGAGACAATCAACAAATAAGTTGGCTAACAAATAAAAGGAGTGATGGACAAGGACCTTAAAGACATTGGAACCCACATTAAACTGGGGAATATTTCTACCTAATTTTGTTTTGAGTACATAGAAAGGGCACCCACGTCACACCTCCTGGCACCTGTCTAAGGGTAACCCTCACCGGTGTTATCTGTAAATTGATCTGATAGTTTTGACAGCCCGGGTTTATGTGTGTGCAACCTGCAACATTGTTACCTGTCCGACAATGCATTTTTAATTAAATTAGCCATACGATTACGGACTAGGGTTGCCCCTTTGCATCTGCGTGGCGCCTCCGTGGGATACACAATAAATCAATCAAATTATAAAAAACCAAACAGAACGCAGAACAGGAAACAGGGAACTGGGAAAGAGACCCCTGGCAAGACACGCGACTCCCTTGGAATAGTGTATAGAGTGGAGGCGTGGCCGAGTGGGCAGGTTAAATGTTCATGCTTAATTAATGCTGATGTTGTTGCTGGGCGCGTTGCATGTTGCTGCTGCTGCTGCTGCAGCGTGTGTTTATTTTAGATTTTTATCGCAGCCATCGTCTGCCGGCCGCAGTTACATTTCATACTTGTACATTTTATTTTAATTTATGCCACTTATTCCTCGCTCTATTCATGCCACCGGGAGCCGGAGGAGCGCATAAAGCGGTCCGCATTATAAACACATATATATCGTACTAATTAGTGGGGCAAACCCCCAGACATTCCCCTCCGTCGCACGCTTCGTTTGCACTCGGAAAATGTAATTAGTAAGCCCAGAGAAGGCTTGCAGGAATTCTAGGTCTAGGGGTAGATATATATATATATATTTCTGTGAAAAACTGTCGCATAATGAACCCGGCTAAGCCCAGATAGTGAGCTTATGATACCTGCGCCGTTGCGTTGCGGGGGTCAAAGGGTTTAATGGGCCTCAGACATGTGAGTTGCAGCTCATTAAACAGAAAAGGAACTGCAAACTGGAGATGTTAACTGAAATAAATGTGGCGATAAGAGGTTGGAGTTATGAGAGCGCTCAAAATTTATTTCTTCCTCTTAATTATAATGAAAAATGGGAGGTCAGAATTAAATTAAATGATAATAAAAGGTTCTGAGTTATAGTTATTAATGTATGCTCAAGTGAAAACTCTTTAGTAAACTGCATTACCTATCAAACTTTTACATTCCTAGATTATATAAATTTTCCATCACCTATACATAAAAATCCTTACGGGTAAACATACTTTTAAAACTATAAACCACTCTCTCTTATACACCCGCAGCTCTCTTTCCGCTTTTAATTTCACTCAGTCACCCAGTCTAACATTCAACTTTGAAAACAATTACAATTAAAATTCCGCAGATGTAAAAGTTTTTCTCCCCACCCCAGCCTTAACACAATTATAGACAAGTAATAGCAATTTACTTTGAGCTACCCCATCAGTCTCCCAACCCCTCGGGCTACACTCGCAACGCGTTTTGCATTTCAACTTGGTCTGGTGCTAATTAGAGCTGATTGCCCAACAAATGAAGTCGATACCGGGGGATGCTGTGATGCTGGGATGCCAGGTGCCTTCAAGGAAAATCGATTTGGCCAACATGAATTCAAGGCAAACGGAAAACCGAGGGGACTCCCCGAACTTCCACTTCGAGTGCCAGTGACACATAAATTCAACGCGCTCAGAGAAAAGTAAAAGTTGTTCAAGCTGTGCGAAAATAGTTTCCCCGTTGCGGGGAAAAATGGCAAGTGGAAAGAAAAGCAATCGCTTTTACTCGCTCGGGTGTTGATAAGAAAATGAAAATACGGGAAAAATTGTTGAATGGAGGTGGAGAGGTACAGGAATTTCACAGAACGGCGAAAACAGTTGATAATCAAGTTACTCTGCATGTTTTTGTAAGCTTTAAGGTTTTGAATTTTTCTGTGAAACTACCAAATATAATTTAAGCTATATATGCATACATTTCTTAAAGTTTTTTAGAACTTGTTTTATTTCATTTCTGTGCAAATTCAACTCTTTAAGCCCCCATTTTGTTGGCCAAACGAAAGCTATTTGAATTCATGGCACGACATCTATTTAATTTCAATTACAACCCTAAAAATGCCATAGCAAACGCATCAACCGAAAAAGGAAAATTCTTCCACACACATTCACTGGGAGCTTGAACACCAAGGGAGCACAAATAAAAAAGAAAAAGTGAATTGCCCGTTTTTTGCGTTACCAACTGAATATTTTTTCCCCCTTTTCCTTTCAGCAACCCGTCCAGATCCTAATTTATGCAAACCCAAGGCAGACATGAGCGAGATTTCCAGCCAGGCCAGAGCCAGACCAGACACAGAGATGGAGATGGAGACCAGATCACACATAGTGGGTAGTTTGGATATCATTTTATGCTTTCTTAACATATTTTTTGCCCTTGTTGGTGGCTCGCCCACATTGCGTCACAACGACGGATTGTTGGGTCCGGGGGACTTTGCAGGCCATAAATCCGGAATTGTCTTTTGACACATGAATATGTTGTGCATTAAAGCAGACTCAGGCGAAGGACGAGGGGGCCCCAGAAGACACACCCCCGCTCCAAAAGTCAGACGACATTTTTATTACAATCTGGGGAGCGAGTTATCCGCTGGATGGCCCGCGGCTGATGATGACATTCGCTTGGGCACTGGCCTAGAAGCTGATGCTGATTTAGGGTCATTAGGGTTTGGGGGGAAGGGCCTTGTGTCGACATCTAATGGGCTCTGCCATTGCCATTTCCATTTCCCTTGCCCCTTTTCCATCTGCATATGAAGAGCCAGAGAGCCGAGAGTTAGTCTAAGCCAGAGGCAGGCCATCATAACCCAGGCGGATTCAATTTGCTGGCCTCCTTTGAAATCCAGAACTATGTTGTGGCTGGGAACCCCAAAGACCATTGTCCCTAACATGCAACTTGCAATTCGCCAAATTATATATGTTGGTCGACGAGGCTGATTAAATCTGCAGGCAATCGAGGCCTGACTTGAGAAACTGAGACTCAATCTTCCCATAAAAGGTCAAGAGAAGTCTCAAACAAGGTTACACTGGCAAAAAAGAAACCTACAAGCCTTTAATATAATTCTATTTCTACTTGCTATGAGCTAAAGTTTGCTTTTATAGTCTCCCTATTCGCCTTGCTAATTTCTCTCTGTGTCGAAAGGCCTCAGAAAAAGGTAATTTTTATGCCCAAATGGTCATGATTCGTGCTCGACTACGTTGGCCAGACATTTGGCCAAGTCTTGTCTGGCCAAACAACTTTACTTTGCGCGGCACCGATCCACGGAGCGTCAGAGTGTAAGACAAACAAGCCGAAGGACATGTGAAGTGACTACGTCTGACAGTCCCAGTCCCAGTCCCAGTTCCAGCTCCCCCTTCCGATTCCCCTTAGTTCGCTGGGGAACCAACTGTGTGGCAACTTCATCCCAGCATCCAGTAGCTGCCAAGTATTTCTATTTGTATTTCATCGCCCCGGTCGAGCAGCTGCAATTTATTTGCCTTGGTCTTTGGTCTTTAGTCTTCAGTCCTTGGGGTTTCGGTTGGACTCTGCTCCGGACTCTGGTCGTAGCTCTTCTTTTAGTTATGGCCTGCCCGCAGCACTGACGCAATCATCAAGGCCCCATCCCAGGCCCGGTCGTGTGTTTTCCTATACATTATCACCTCGGCACAGGCTCCTCATCGATGTGGCGTATGCCCTCTTCTGGTCAAGACCATAAATTCCGCGCAGAAAGACGGCCAGTGATGCATAAATTATGTTGCCAACTTGTTGTTGCCTGAACTTCTATGACAAAGTCCATAAAAAATAAGAAAACGCATTACATTTATGGCTTTACTTTGTGAGATGGGAATGTAATGTGGTCAAGTCTTTCCACAACCTTTGTTAACTGATTCTAGTTCTATAATTAAGAATGTAAATTTTTTATGTAACAGGCTACAAAGGGATACTTAAAGAGTCGAAGACTATTTTCTCATTAAGGTTTGAAAGCTAAAAACTTATTTCAATGTGTGCCTTAGGTAAAAGAACCTCATTAACTGTTTTTAGCCAGGTATTTTTTACTGCAAACGAAAAAGGATAACAAGCTATTAACTCGGCCATTAAGAGCTCCATCTAAATAAGAAACCTTACACATTAATTGTTTTGTTTTTACAAAACCGAAATAATTACCTCTCCTGACTGAAACCCATTTGGGTCAAACCGCTTAATTATTCAACCACTAATCTGTAATTAATCTAATACCTGAGCTACTTTCAGATACCTTTAGGCGCCACCCGTAAGAACCGCAAATGTAAGTCGATATCTGCATATACAAAAATAATACCACCCCATTGAAGTCGTGAACGGGGGAGTGAGCTGAGATCTTAGTGGCTCATAAAAAATCAAAGGTAGCATTAACAGGCGAGCT